AATGATGACGTCAATCGTGCGTCTGTCCTCTAATAGATCATAGGCGAGAACCAATCAAAATGCGAGAATAACTTGGGTTATTATATAATCTGTTGTAGATAGTGAGTAGCTTAGCAGTGTGCGTTTTTGCGCAAACTAACGGCCGCTTCTTTGCGTTATCGAGATGTCTGTGAAGAAGATTAAGATAAAGTGTTGAACGGCTAGCAGATTTACAATAAAACAACTGGATTATTCTCTCTCAATTTCTACGCGTGATAGAAATCTCGAGCTCATAATCTAAATAGTAACACGATTTTCAACCAGTCTGGGCTATTTTCTAATATAGACTGTATCTACAAGTTCTATTCATGTTGTTCGATGCAATGTCGGGTATAGCGAAAAGCGCGTCCTGTCAGTAGCATGCTGAAATATTTAAGCGCGTCATCATGATATTGGGAAATTGACTTATACAGTCTATTATTTTTTGACCTTGTGTTCTGGAGTCAAATCACCTCCAATTCAGGACAATAGACCAATCATAGCATACATTGTAACCCACAACGTTGCTTTCTTTGTTCATAGCGAAATGCAAGACAACAGGATATCGTTGACTGATTTAAAAATTATTCTTAAAGCGTCAAAAGACATCAACTTCTTGTAAGTATGCTGTATCCCTGAAAGAACGGAAATAAAACTATCTAACAACATGTCTTTTGGAAGGTATATTGGTTATTCCCCACCTGCTGGGGCAACATCATTGGTCACGCTTGTCAACGTCGATCATAAGGAAATGAAATAAATAAATTACAGTAATTAGAGAGGAAGCCACATCAACCTTAGCTGGTTTCATGCAGGTCCTTTAAGCTGGTCGAATTGGAATTTGCAGGTGTTTGTTTTGTGGAGGGAGGAAAACTGGAGAACCCGGAGAAAAACCCTCGCAACAAGGCGAGAACCAACAACAAACTCAGCCCACATATGGCACCAGGCCTGAATTGAACCCGGGCCATATTGGTGGGAGGCGAGTACTCTCACCACAGCACTCTCCCTGCTGGCTATATTTTCATACTCCACAAGTTCGGTCTCAACACCTGACACAAAATTGAAAGCTTTTAGTGAAATAGCTTTTAGATTTCAAAATATCCTGAAGCACAAACGAGGGTTAATTGGCATTAGCTGTGATTATTGTACCACTAAGTTGAGTTTACTGTACCTGTGGTTTCCTCCACAGAGATATATCAGGAAATCCAATTGGACCTAATTTAACTTCAGACACTTTTGCTGGATTTCATAAGATGGTTCATTTGTAAGTTCTATGTATATAATAACTCTTTGAATTTTTTATTATTTTTCTGGGGAGATGTTGTTCCTCGCCATAAATTTCATCACTTCAGTGTTCATAGCCCCTGACGTCTTGTAAAAGACACTTATTAAAACTATCTTCTTTCAACACGTTGATTATTTTGTTAGATACATGGCCACATGTGGTCTCCAGCACATTGAGACTAGAAGCTTCAGAGCGATGAACAAATTGAAGGAAATGTAAGTTTAACTCCAATATACTTCTTTCTCAGTCTAGGTCGATTAAAGCAAAATAATTCTGCTTGGAGTATTGAATTAAGAAGATATGGAAAAACATTTTAAAAAAATTAATGCTATAACATGACGTTTCGTTGACTCCTTAACTCCTAAGCTAGTATATATCTGTACTGAACAATCTGCATTTAATAATGGCGACAAGATATGACGCCGAAACGTCATGTTATAATAAAATTCTCTGTGCCAACTGTTCCTTGAATTATGTCTGTGAAACTGGTAGACCTGTTTTTACGAGGAAAAAAGAACATAAAACGAACGTTAAAAGAGCGGCCAAAGGCTCCAGGTTTGCAAATCATGTATGATCCCATGTCATTGACTTTAGTAACGTCCCTCTCATCGGCAAAGGCGATTTTTGAATCATAAAGTAATTTTGGAACCTTGGCACACCATGGCGACTCCCAATACGGACAAAGACTCTTTCCTCTCCAAGGACAAAAAAGCACTCTTCTTAACAAAAATTTCTCCTATTGTTCTTATTTATCACGTCAGATTCAGATGTTTAACGCCGCTTTCATCCTTTTTTTTTCCTTAAAGACTGTAGTTTAGGCAGTCGAAAGCTTGTAGTTTTAAAACATTCTTAGCCATTCAGAGGTTTTCATTTTGGTTGCCGGGGTTGGTGTACCTTGAATATTTTTCACCCTTGGGTTAATTTCTTAGTGAACATGGAGTCATTTCAAGACAATCATGATAAACGTGTGTTTTGATGTTTCTATCACTCGTCATCTTCTATCGGCGGACTCTTATTTGCTGTTGCCTTTTCCAAAACATTAATATAGGTGTATTAAGAGGCCCTGCGCCTAAGAAACGACCGATGATTTCCGGCTAAAAAATAAAATTGGCCGTTTTTTATCTCCCAAGTAGAGGTTACCGAATACTATTTAAAAATTAATTTCTTTTGTTTCAGTTTCGCTTTAAACCAGAAATANGTGTAGTTTTCTCATTATTTTGCGTTGCGAGAGTAATTTCTGAACAGTTTTTTTGCGGGGGCTTATTTTCAGCCTAATTTTGCTGGTATCAGACAGAAAAAGTTTGCGGCTCGATATTTTTGGTTTAAAGTGAAACTGAAACAAAAGAAATTAATTTTTAAATAGTATTCGGTAACCTCTGCTTGGGAGATAATAATCGGCCGATTTTATTTTTTAGCCGGAAATCATCGGTCGTTTCTTAGGCGCAGGGCCTCTTAAATTTTGGGTGGCTGTTTTAAGGGTTAAAGACATTAGACAAACCCTTATCAGGACGACCAAAGGGTGGCCGCGGCCGCTTATTACAGGTGGCCGCTCAATCGGGGTTTTATTTACAATACTTTACTGATAACAATTTCAGGACTTTGATAACTGGCCATTTGACCCTTTCGCCACGGTAGAGCAATTATGTGCTTGTGACGTCCCAATTCGGATCAAATCTGGCCGATTTTGATGATTTCGAAATTTTCGGAGCAAAATATTCATCAAGATTTGTTACTTTTTTTTAACTTTTTCGTTTTCTGCTTTCAAAATATCGTTTGTCAAAGCTACCACTTCCTTAGTGGGTGTTGATGCGATATTTTGGACTGATACAAAGATCAGTGGCTTTCAAATGGTATATCATACATGGGTATAGAGGGTCTATTAATTAAACTGAAAAAAGACCCGGCAATTTAGGGCTCAAAGGATAACTAAGGGGCGGCTCAATAGGTTATCGCTTAATAGAGGTTCGACTGTAATAGTCTGGTTAGCGTTTGAAAAAAAAATCCTTGGTTGTTGATTGCCTTCCTCACTCATACCTTGCAGCGACCTTTTCTCAAACATGCTGTCGCATATAGAACCAGGTACCTTTGAAGGGCCATCTGAGGGTCTCCTTAGTTTGTAAGTTCTCATTTTACGATGTTTTTTGTTAATTTAGTTAAACTTGGGGGTGGCGGCGGGGTGGGGGGCCAATGCTTAGCACAATAGAATATGAACCGGTCACCACGATCACCGAGTTGTGTTCTTGGCCAAGATCTTTTACTCTTACCGACTTTTGCTACTTATTTCCCTTGACCGGGACTAAAAAAGGGTGCAGGCAAACTGTCAAGATCATCTCTCAAAATGCAGACGGACAAACCTGTCGGCTAGGATCCACCGAAGAGTACAGGTGGTATTCAAAGTGGCTTTTTATGCTTGCCGCTTTAGCCTCTGTGTAATTCTATGAATTTCCAGGTAGTTATTACATTTCTTCCCGGTAATTGCTTATATTGTAACTCATGATAACATCCAATTTGTGTACAAATATTTTCCTATGATTATAGATGTTTCGTAATGAGAGATAATTGGAAACCTATTTGCAGTTAACCTGATGAAGTTTTTGGTAATGGTTAGGTTGCTTTGCTAGCTTATTGAAATGAAGTTAAATGATTTGTTTTCATAACCGGCTCCACAGACCTTTTTCCACTTTTATGATATTTAAAATACTAAACTAGTGAGCATCACTCCGGAAACTGAAGTTGCAAGACGTGTTTATTCTCTGACGTGTATCGTCTAACTATCGTAGACTTCTACAAGGACTTTAAGAAACATGCACTAAGACAGCCCCACCGCCGCCTCCCCCCTTCCCCCAACCCCCCAACAAAAACATCAGGCCATGAATAAACACATTTCACCTCTTTTCGTGAAACCGGCCAAACTTTTGTGGTTGGTGTTTTTCGAAATAGCCGTTAGTATGGCTTAAATACAGGCGTTTAGTGTAAATACGTTGAAGTAAAAACAATGTTTACCATTTCATTTCGCAGAGTGTTGCTGACTAGTTTATTGTTCAAAAACAATTTTAAAAACTTTTTTTGACTTAAGGTTTTTTCAAATGTCTTACAGGTTTCTTCATTACAGTGAGCTAAAAACAATAGCTGATGGAACATTTCGCCGTTTTAGTCGACTGACTGATTTGTAAGTGTCGTCTTTTAAACAAATGGCTGACGCTCGCGAAAACTTGAACGGCCTAACATACATGTATAGTGTTAAAACTTTTCTTCTTTCGTTTGCTTTTCAACCGCTTTTTTAAAGCAATTTTTGCTTTGCACAGCAACTGCATCAGTAATATATCCGGGCCACTCGTTTTGATTAAAACCTTGCTGATTATGTAGACAATTTTTTCAAATGACAAAGCTTGACCCCTTTAACGCGGTTTGGTATTAAAGTATCATGATAGGTGAATTTCTACGAAAAATGCTAAAAGTACATTTTTTTTTTTTTTTTTTCGTTCAAATTGAGAAGACTGAGATAAATATTTTGCAAAAGGAATGGGGATAAAGGCTTTTTTTACTTTTCAAGATAAAGAGAAAAATTACTTTTGAATCTCATTAACTCCTTACAGCGCGTTGACACCCCTTATTAGAATTCACCGCCAGTTGTCACGTATAATGTGAATTACGATGTGTTAGATCGTTTCGGTGCGCGTCGTGCTACGGAATTGACTGAAAATCGGCAGTTATGTTCCAGGATACCTCCTTCGAAAAAGCACCGATAATTCACGCACTTAGGCGAACCAGTTTAAGCGAAAGTATTTCTGGGTATCTCTTTTTATATCAATGCGACAATAACTTTTTAGAAAATTTCAAAAATATGATTGTATTCTATAACTATTAAGTTTTCAGAAAATGAACAGGTTGATGGGGTTTTCTTTGAAAGCGCCAGCGTAATAGCGCGATTTCCAAACACTGTCAATCCACCTACCATGATACCTTAAATGTTTATTAATTGAAGTTAAAGTACAGTAATTATACTTCATTGGAACACACGACAAAACGCAAATGCTAGAAATTAACACATAGCTGGGTTACCTATAATTTCACAATTCCTCATCTGCGGCAGCATTGTGTTCTGTACTATTTTTATTGCAGGCGACTGTGTCATAACAAGCTGACAACTCTCCCGGATTTGACTGGACCTGCAACAATGACAAATCTGTGAGTTAAAATTAATTAAGAATTTATGCCACGTTATCTGTTGTTTAGTGGGTTATCATTTTATCCCCCACTGAATTATTGTCTGATTGCACGACTATTACTCGATAATATGATCCTCTTCAACGTCTCTTAGATAATCAAGCGATGGGTATTTCCACATACACCATCAGGATAGCCTCTTAACCTAAATGACTTTGAGCGAATTGTTGAATACATAGACATCGGGCCATACCTAATCCTCCTTTCTTTTCTTTCACCGATCATTGTTGTCTTTTTTAAACTTATGGTTCTTGTGGCTCCAGAAAAAATCTCCTTAACAATGAAAAAGAAGGGTCTATTATAGAATGCCAGGAATTTTACTACATTAATTTCCCTATGCATCGTCAAGTATCTGGAGGACAACACGTTAAAGCGCTGTTATACTATCTTAAATTCTTAGTTCTTGCTACAAGAAATATTCTGGAAATTTGTTACAAACTAAATACTGAGTGCTGTCCCATAATCCTCTCAGGCCGGCATGTGCCTAAAAGTCGCATAGGTTATGTTCTTGGTTGAACCTAACCATAATGCCTCCGTCTTGGACCTGTTCAGCTAAAACCCTGAGTAGATAGATTTAGCTTTTAAAACAGATTATCTCTAACAAAGCACGTAATGCCATCTGTATATTGGGATAATTTAAATTATTTGAAGTTAAGTAAAAGTCCCTTTATGGAAACATTACTTCCAATGGTGCATGCCCGAAGCTCCACGTAAATTCCCAAGAAATAAAGATGTTTCAAGGCTACTGTTAGTACCACAACTTATTGGGGCCATTTTAAAACGTGTTAATCAATTTTACTAACACATCCTCAAACCGAAAATTCCTAATGTCTTACGTGGAAACAAACATTTAATTTACATCTATTTTACTCTTATGAAGAAGGCGTAACATCAGTTATTTAATTAAATCTCTTCACCAAAGGTGATTTCATTTCTTCAACGTAAATAAATATATTTTTCTCTCTTTCAGTCGAATTGAATATAATCAAATCAGGGATATATCTCTGCTCAGTAAATCTTCGATAATTCAAGTGTTTCAAATGTAAGAAAAATCAAACGCTTTTTTATTACTCTCCCACTGAAACTATTTAACATTTTATGTATTTATTACGTCTATTTGGAAATCGCTGGTGACACTTGCAAACTGATTGGCTCTCAGCAGCGATTTATCCAAATATCTGTTTAGCTCACAAAATGAGAGGTAACAGCCTTTCTGGCCTACGAGCAGGCTCACCTTTGAGTCACGCGCGCGACCGGCGAAAAGGAAAACGATCCGGTGGTGAGGAGTCTGGTGGAGAGGTTCATTTTCTCGCCTCGCGGCTTCGCCGCTCGATTTCGCGCGCGCTTGTGCTCCAACGTGAGCCTGGCTACTGTATCTATAAAATATTGGAACTGGCCAGAATCCTTAATTTACATGTATGCAATAAAATTGTGTGATTTCATAATGGATGTGATAAAGTGGACATTGAACTTTGTGTGGTTCATTTTTGGTCTGAAATCATGCGATTTCAGACCACTCAATCATATGCTGCGGCCTCGTTCAATTTGGAAATCGTACGTATGATTTCAGACCAAATGACCCTCAACTCAGTTCAATTACCATTATATATTACTCATACAATTGAAATATTTAAATATTTAACTGTTCCATGGAAGCATTGATGGATAAGTTCATCCATTCTTGATGAACTTATTGTATCTAACCGTTTACTTATTATTTACTTAGTCTGCTATTTCATCACGTATTTTTCAGAAATATGTTAGCCAATCAGATCGAAGAATTACCAGTCAGTCTCTTTCAAAACATACCTGTGACGCACTCTTTGTAAGTTTAACAACAAATATTTAAATAGTCAATCTAGTTAAAATAGGTTAACTATTAACTAGTCAATCAATTTACGAGGTAGTGGCTTAAATGTTGTACAGCCGCCATATAACACCCTTGCAACTCATTTCTGTATAAGATTGCCCACGTGTGGAACCAGTTACAAGCTATCACCAAACCCTCGACCACTTTGGCACAATTTCGTTCTCGTTTGAGTGGTGTTGAGTTTGCAGGGTGCCGGTGTATGAACTGTATTTTCTAACTCAAATTTTTAATATAAGGTTTAGTTGCTCTTAGGAATATTTTATCTCCTAAATCTGGATTTATCTTAGTGAATTTAGTAATTTTAAGTAGCATTGTTTTTGTAAATAGTCGTGCGTTTTTGTCATGAGCCCCTGGCTCGGGAGATTGGCAACCACTCCCTACGTTTACGACTTAAAATAAAGTTACCTTACCTCACCTTACATTACCTAGTGTGATTGTGTAGGTTAGTTTAGTTCTGAAAAGGGCTATTGTTGTTGGTGACTGACGTTTCGACATCCAGGAGGAAACTAGTTGCTCTTAGAGTAACTTTTATCTTAACATTCTCAAATTAGCTGCTGATCAGCGACTTAATTTACAATAACGTGCCACAATTCGTCACAGAATAGAGGACAAACGACTGAAAAGCTAAAGTACAAAACACTAACAATATGGTTTCTTGATCCTTTTCCAAGGGTTTTCGAAACTTAAAACAACATAGACTTGTAATTTGTAATCCTAATTGATCTAGCTACACTCATTACAGCCTTCTTAAAACCTAGTGAACTGCAAGACTGAACTGACTCAAGAAGAAGGCAGTTCCAAGACCTTGGTAGTTTGATACAAAAATAAGCCTAGAAGCGTACACTTCCTGAACATTACATAACTGCCTTTTGCCTCGCGAATGAATGTGAGAACACTTTACAAAACAATGTCAATAATTCAAAACGGTGAATCATGGGCATCAGATGAAAGAAAACACTTGGTATAAGTGCAAATGAACCTGAATATCTATTCTTAGCCAACAAAACCCTTGCAGCTTTAAACTACAAACAGGAAGTCTGAAAACAGGTGATTTCTGAATTATGCCAGACTTAGTTCAGTCCACCCTCATAATCGCTGAGTACTTTCCATTCATTATCGATTTTCAAGTAAACTGCAACAAATATTTTAATCTGCAAAGCTTTCAATTTCTCTTCTGTAATATTACTTTTTTTTAAGCCTCATCTTAATTAATTTCATTTTTAGGGATTTGTCTATCAATAGACTTACTTCCATACCAGATAATGCATTTTCTCCTTGCAAGGATTTAACGCAGTTGTAAGTGAAATAAATTTTGATTTTCTGGTTTGTTTGCAATGAATTCCAGAGAGATTGATCAGAGATGAGGATATAAAAGTAAAAAATATGGAAAGTTTCATTTTCTTTTAGAATTCATGATACAGACATTGCAGCTAAGGAGCCAATACAATTTAGGTTGCAGGACAGTTGGGGAAAAGTAAGTAATGCAGTGTTTTATTTCTCCTCAAGGATGCTCAGCTTTAATTTCATCTCAGCAATCAACAACAATACGTTTGCTGGGCTCAAGAATCTACAGATGTTGTAAGTGACTATTAATTTTGTCAATTTGTACTTAACAGTTAACTTGGTAGGTACTATGCAATTTTTATGAATTCTTTTACAGTTTGGATTCTTCAAGCCAAGTGATCAAAGGAAGTGATCACTCACCTTGATACTAAAATAAAGTCGATGTCTGTCTGTCTGTCTTTCTTTCTGTCTGTGTTTGTCTGTGTGTATGTTTGTATTCATACCGCGGAAATAGTAATGTATCACTCCGTTGCTTTATGCTAGAAGCACTGTAGTAAGAAGACTTTTTTTGTTGTTGTTTTTATATTTCTGTGTCTTGCTTATCTCGTAGGATGATAGTAAACAACAATCTGTCCATAATCCCTGAAGACACTTTCGCTGGTTCCCCGTTGTTAGAGCTCCTGTAAGTAATCTGAAGCATGATGCAGGCAACGTCTCGATCCATTCTAAAGTTTGAACGCATATGTAACGTTTGTAGAGCAAAGTAATGTGGATGGGAGGAAGAAGCTGTATAATGTTACATTTACATCCTCTACTGTTCCCAACCCATAACCCTTACTATACTATATAAGCACACAACTGAACCTGAATGATTGTGGGGAAAAAAGGGTAAGAGATAAAGTACTCTAAAAAAGGACAGTAGGTCACTTTTTCTTGGGGTGAAATATCCCCAAGGGTACTTTGAGAATGCTAACACCCCTCTCTGGGGGACGATGATTTCCCAAGGAAATGCATGAGAATTAATAATCCTCTCTGGGACGTAATAATACCCCAGAGAATTGCATAAGAAGTGATTATCTCCTCTAGGGGGTTATAATCTCCCAGGGTAGTAGGTGAGAGGTAATAAACCTCTCTAGCGGGTAATAATCCCCCAGAATAGTGAGTAAAAGGTGATAATCCATTCTAGCGGGTGATAATCCCCCACGGTAATGAGTGAAGGGTGATAATCCTCTCTAGCGGGTGATAATTCTCCAGGGTAGTAAGTGAGAGATGATAATCCTCTCTATGGGGGTGATAATCCCCCAGGGTAGTTGGTGCGAGGTGATAATCTTCTCTAGCGGATGGTAAGCCCCCAGGGTAGAGAGTGAGAGGTAATAATCCTTTCTAAGGGGTGATGATA